TTCCTCGACACGTCCTCATGCTAGGCATCAGCCTGGCCGACCTGTACACGTGAAAACAAGCTTCTGGTTCGAGACATCCTCAACAAATCCTCATGCTAGACATCTGTCTGGGCCACCTGGAGGCGTGAAACCAAGCGTCTCGCTCGAGACATCTTCAAGACCTGGGCACGTGAAAAAAAAGCATTTCACTTGAGAGATCCTCTGAACTCAGGTCCCCAGTAGTGGACAATGTGTATAAATATAACACAAAACAAACGTTTCGCTCGAGACATCCGAACCAAATTCTGAAAAACAAGCGTGTCGCTCGATCCTCAAGAACATGATCGACCCACGAATCCGGAAAGAAATATAGAAATGTAACGCATGGCAACGTTTTCAAATACACCTGATTGGGTGACGAGCAAGTGCAATGCTGATTGTATCGATCTTGATGTACCGTGCCGAGGGCTGTGCTGTGCTGCACCGTGCTGAATTGCGATGTGCCATGCCGCGGTTGTGCTCTATAGCGTCGTGGATCGAGTCTTCCTTTGCATCCGAGTCCTGACCGAACTGATCTGGATCTTAGGCTCGAGCTGCCTGAACACATAGTAGCTGCTCCAAAGCTAATTGACAGGGGGACATGTCAGGAGGACGCGCCGCGAAACGTCCCAAGGGACGCGCCAGGCGACGTGCCAGGGGACGTGACATGGGGTCGCACCGTAGGACGTGCCAAGGGGACGCGCTACGGAACGTGCCAGTGGATGTGCCAAAGAATGTGCCAGGGGACGCGCCATGCGACGTGCCAAGGGGACTCGCCAAGGGACGCCCCACGGAACGTTCCAAGGAACGTGCCAAATTGCAATGCTGATCGTATCGATCTTGATGTACCGTGCCGAAGTCTGTGCTGTGCTGCACCGTGCTGAATTGCGATGTGCCATGCCGCGGTTGTGCTTTATAGCGTCGTGGATCGAGTCCTCCTTTGCATCCGAGTCCTGACCGAACTGATCTGGATCTTAAGCTCGAGCTGTCTGAGCAGATGGTAGCTGCCCCAGAACTTATCGACAGAGGGGATATGTCAGGAGGACGCGCCGCGGAGCGTCTCAAGGGACGCGCCAGGCGACATGCCAGGGGACGTGCCATGGGGACGCACCGCGGGACGTGCCCAGGGGACGCGCTACGGAACGTGCTGGGGACAAGCGTTTCGCTCGAGACATCCTGTCAAAATCCTCATTCTAGACATCCGCCTGAGCGACCTGGACACGTGAAAACAAACGTTTCGCTCAACACATCCTCAACACATTCTCATGCTAGACATCCGCCTGGGCGAACTGGACACGTGAAAACAAGTAGTTCGCTCGAGACATCCTCAACACATCTTCATGTGAGACGTCCGCCTGGGTGACCTGGGCACGTGAAAACAAGCGTTTCGCTCGAGACGTTTTCAACACCTCCTCATTCTAGACATCCGCCTTGGCGACCTGTACACGTGAAAGCAAACGTCTCGCTCGAGACATCCTCAACACATCTTCATGTTAGACATCCGCCTGGGCGACCTGGACACGTGCAAACAAGCGTCTCGATCGAGACATTCTCAACACATCCTCATGCTAGGCATCCGCCTGGGCAACCTGGACACGTGCAAACAAGCGTCTCGATCGAGACTTCCTCGACACGTCCTCATGCTAGACATCCGCCTGGGCGACCTGGACACGTGAAAACAAGCCTCTGGTTCGAGACATCCTCAACAAATCTTCATGCTAGACATCTGTCTGGGCCACCTGGAGGCGTGAAACCAAGCGTCTCGCTCGAGACATCCTCAAGACCTGGGCACGTGAAAACAAGCAATCCACTTGAGAGATCCTCAGAATTCTGGCCCCCAGGAGAGGACAATCTATAACACAAAACAAGCGTTTCGCTCGAGACAACCTCAACATATTCTGAAAAACAAGCGTTTCGCTCGAGACATCCTCAAATTTTAAGTCGCCGGCCCTTCGCGACCTCGTTATTTATCGCAAAAGAAATTCGCCGGCCCATCTGCGGGGGTAAACCTTTAATAAAAGAGAACCCTGGGCCTACGCCCTTTCCGGGAATGACTTCGCAGGCCAAACGCGACCTCGATATTCGCCGACCCTGCAGCCGTCAGAACCCGGGGTAAACACACCAAAAGAGAACCCTGGGCCCGAGCCCTTTCAGGGAAAACGTGGCTCCAGCTCGGAACCACCATGTTCCCGAGGCCGCGCTCCATGGTAAATGACGTGGCGTCTGCACTCCGAGGGCAGCGTTCCCGCGAACGGCGCCCGTGCTCCCAGGGCCACGACCCCTCTAAATTACGCGGCGCCCGCGCTCCAGAGCCGCGATCCCTTGTGAATTACACGGCGCCCGCACTCCCAGTGGCACGATCCCTCGTAGATCATATGGCGTCCGCACTCCCAGGGCCAGGATCCCAGGCAAATTACACCGGACTTGCGCTCACGAGGCCGCGATCCCTTGTAAATCACACGGGGTTTGCGCTCCCAGGGCCACGATCCCTCGTAAAGTACGCGGTATCCGCGCCAGGATCCGTTGTAAATTACGCGGCGTCTAGGCTCCCAAAACCGCGATCCCTTGTAAATTACGCTGGATCTGCGCTCCCAGAACCCCTGAGCATCCTGGAGCGCCCAGGCCCGTCAAATTCTGCAAAACGAGCGTTTCGCTCGAGAGATCCCCTGAATTTCTGCGCGCAGGACGCGCCGCCTCGAGCGGGCACATAAAAAGACATTTTCACGTTTGTTGTGCCCCGGTCGGGGCTCCAGATCTAGGTTTGTTTCGAGGATTCTCCAAAAAGTGCCCGGCACCCTCTTTTTTCCCAACCATCCTGTGGTGTCGGGTCCTCGTTTTGAAGAGACAGCGCCCCGCGTTCTCCTCCTCCTCCTCCTCCTCCTCCTCCTCCTCCTCCTCCTCCTCCTCCTCCTCCTCCTCCCTCCCTCCTCCCTCCTCCCCCTCTTCCCTGCGTTTCACCCACCCAGTACAGCGCTTCGTGGCCCCATAGGGAGCTCCACCGAAGGCCCCAGTGGCAGGGTTCGCATGGCGGCCTCGGGCCATTTCGGCACACCCCTCAAGCGAGAGGCCGTGAGCGGCCCTGACACACTCTTACCATACTCTCACCATACTCTTACCATCTTCGTTCTGCTTCCGCATCCTACACCTTCGATGGCTTCTTCTGGCGATGGTGATATTCGACAGCCAGGGACACCTGTCAGGCAGCTGTTCAAACAATATCGCATTCACAGCCCTTTGCATGAAATGGATGGTCTCGAAGGCGACGACGACTACAATGAAGCCAAGGGTAAAGGAAAGGGGGGAGTTGGAACGCCAATGGGAGAGATAACCATGACCGGGACCGAGCAGAGAGGAGGAGAAGCAGCAGCAGCATCAGGTCCGGCCCCGAGCGGAATCAGCATGACCGCAATCGAAGGCATGTTTAAGCAGTACCTGACACCCCTCCACAAGGACATCGAAGCTTTCAAACAGCACGCCGTATCCAGGAGCGAGCTGAAGAAGGCCCTGGACCCGATCAAGCACGACATGCAGAAACTCTCTGAGCGCATCGCTCTCTTGGAGCAGTCTGGCACCAGGTCTCCATCAATGGCTTCCGCGGCAGCACCAAGCGTCACCGCCGAGATCGAGAGCAAAATCACAGAGTTGGAGAAACAGCTTGCGAACCTGAAGGAGGATGGCAACCGGGAGTGCAATGCGGTCATTGGCGGTTTGGGCGATTGTCCAAATATTGACACGGCCGTGACGTTCTTGAGAGATCGTTTCGGCCGGCTTCAGGTGCCAGATTACATTGACATATTCGTGAAGGGCGAGTTCAACAGCATAGTGTCTGTTAAATTTGCCACGGTCGCCGCCGGGGACAAGTTTGTCAGCATCTTTGGTAAAGCACAAATCAAACATGTCAACAACATTGTGTGGACACGCCCCGATCAACCGATCGAGAAACGTGTGCCACAAAAGCTTCTTGTTCGGTCTTCGCAAGCAATTCTTGGAATGGGGGTATTCCAAAAACGAAGTGCGGGTTGACACGGACAATTACGAGCTCAAGGTGGCGAGGGACCCAGTGGTGAGAGTGAGCATTGCCTACAATACGTTGCAGTTATATTGGAAAGGAGCCTGGAACAACTGGGATGACCTCACCAAGAGCTCTGAAGTGGAGTACCTCACCACGCGCGCCAACGACACGCTCGGCCAGGCATCGAAAGACAGCGGGAAAGGGAAGGAAGGTGGGGGGATGAATACCCACTAGGGGTCACGGCGGCGCATTGGCATTTCAGGGATAGCTCGGGTGAGCGAGTGGGTAACATTCCCATGCTGGCCCATGGAGTGCGGCAGAATTGCTACATGGAATGTCGAAGGCATTACCAAAAGCAGCCCGCACAAACTTTTCGACCTTATCAAGGATATGCGTGATTTGGACATTGCAGTTCTCTGTCTTCAAGAGACACATCGCTGCGGCTCCGAGACGTTCGAATTCGAAAGCCATTTTGTTATCTTATCTGGGTGTGAAGGAGATCAGCGGGAATATGCTGGAGTTGGCTTTATCATCGCACCTTGGGCAAAACAATCCGTCAAATGATATATTCAATACAACAACCGGGTTGCCAGTTTACGTATACGATTAACAGGAGGGATACTCACATGAATTACTTACTGTATATGCTTGGACAAATCTCTACGACTACGACGTAAGGAGCGACTTCTTCTCTGATTTGGAGCAGATCTATGAGCATTGCCGGTCCCACGGGCCAACATTATTGCTCGGAGTTGTCAACGCAAGACTCTTGGAAAAATTCGCTGGCGAAGACACGGTTATGGGTGAGTATGTTTTTCGCAATCAGAAATGCAAATGGGGCCCATTCCTCAACAGAGAGCTTCTTCTCGAATTTTGCACGTCAACAGACGCATGCATCGCCAACACGTTCTTCGATACACCGCCAGAACACAATGTTACGTTTTATGGCATTGGCACAAACCCCATGGACCCGATCGAGCCGGGTAAATTTGAACAACTTGACCACGTCGTCGTTGACAGCAAGTGGCTCTCCAATATCCAGCATATCTGGTGTGACCGGACGCGGGCCTTGCAGTCTCATCATTTCGCATGCATTGTCGATCTGAACATTGCGATACCTATTGCTGAACGAGCCCGGCGACCTCCCCGCTATGATTGGAAATCTTTGCAGAGCGAGCCTATCGCCAAGAAATACGTTGATGGCTTCATCAACAATTGGGGGAATAAGCGTCCTTGCCATTCATTACAGAGTAAAGCAACAACGATTGCCCAATGTATGATGGATTCTGCTTCGGATCACGTGCCGCTCCTTTCCGCCACGCCGCACAGGCCATGGATATCATCGCGGACTTTATTTCTCATTGCGCAAAGGAATGCTGCGCGAATGCAGGGCAACCGCGAAGATATAAAAGAGCTCAACAAGCAGGTGCACGTATCTGCGCGCGCTGACAAGAAGCACTGGCTGAACGAAGCGATCGAGCATGGAGACTGGCAAGCGGTTCGTTCTCTCCGGAAGAAACAAACACGTCACGGGCGATTACGTGACAAACACGGGGATTTGGTGGACGCAGAAAAGAAAGCAGAGACAATGGCAGATTATCTGCAAGAAGAACACTGGAAATTGTACGAAGGTCCCGAACAACTTCCTGATGTTGAAAACCACGCGGCGCATTTACACATCAATACTGGACCCGTCACGTTGGAAGAAGTACGCCGGGCAGTCAAGGTTCTGCGTGTTCAAGGAGCAGCCGGGAACGATGGTGTTCCTCCAGATGTGTGGCAAGTCTTATGGTCGAACAACTACGCCTTGGACATCATCAGAGAGCTCTGCGACAGTTGCTGGCAACAAAAACAGATTCCAGAAGAATGGCGGGAGGCTTCAATTGTGACAGTGTTCAAAAACGGAGACACATCACAGCCACAAAATTATCGCCCGAATTCTCTTTTGGCCGTTGGGTACAAAGTATTGGCAAGTGTTTTACTACATAGGCTCAAGACCGGAAGAGTAGAACAGCGCCTGCGGGAGTCACAGTATGGCACAGCAGATGCACTATTCTTGGCGCGCCGACTCATCGACGCCACGCTGGAGGATAAGCATAGGGAGTTGTCAATACTACTGCTTGACTGGAGCAAAGCGTTTGACCGGATTAAGCCTAATTGTTTACTACACGCCTTACGTCAATTTGGGATCCCCGCACCTGTGGTCGATATGGTTGAGGCAATCTACACTGCGCGTAAGTTTGTTGCCAAAGACGGGCAAGCCAAGTCCTCTCAGCGGCCACAAAATGCAGGTATAGCACAAGGCTGCCCGCTATCTCCTTATCTGTTCATCATCGTGATGTCGGTGCAAATGGAGGCCGCGGACACCGAAATGAAGACAGACATGCAGGAAGAATGCCGGAAACCTTACGTCATCACAAAGGAAATCCTGTATGCTGACGACACAATGTTGATGTCGGCACATGGGAACGCCTTCAGCATCACCTCAATACCGCGGCTACGGTCGGAGCTCAACGAGGGTAAAACCGTACTCTTACAAATCAGATCTTCAGCAATTATTCTTGGGCCTGGTGGAGAACCCATTCAATGCAAAGATCATGCAATATATTTGGGCGGCTTTTTGAGCGTAGACGGGAATCCCAAAGCAGAGGTAACCAGACGCCTTGGGGAAGCCAAAAACGCTTTTCAACAACTTAGTGCTGTATGGAACCACGCGAACGTAACCCGACAACGGAAGATACGGACTTTGAAAGCGTGTATCTTCTCCAAATTGCTCTACGGCCTGGAATCGTGTGTCTTGCTGGCTGCTGACCGGGACAGGCTCGATAGATTTCAAGCGCGTTGTCTGCGGAAGATCCACAAAATTCTTCCGGCCTTCATCTCCCGGGTGAGCAACGCAGAAGTGAGGTCGCTCGTAGGCGCCTCTCTCAGTTGATATTTTGCAGAAGCACTTAGATTTTTACGGCAAGCTGGCAAGCGAGGGCCTGAGCACCATACCTAGGCGTATGGTGTTTGAGGACAACCGTGCCCATGATATATTACCCAGGCAGTGGCATCCCCCCCGAAGGCGGGGAAGACCCCGTTTGCAGTGGACGGCTTATATGCACGCCCGCGCCTTGAGCTTAGCAGGAAGCGAAGCCGATGCATTACAGAATCTGTTGATATCTCCCACATAACAGTGGGAGGCAGCTGTTCGACGTCATTGCCAAGCATTATGATTGTAAGTTTATATTTCAGGTTTCCCTCTCCTCTCTTCCCCCCTCCCCCCCTCCTTCTTCCCCTCCCCCCTTCCTCCTGCATGCCGCCGTGCTGGTGTATGCCCTTCCGCCGCCCACCATTGTAATACGCAGTGGCTGCGTTACGGCGCGGGTGCATTCAGCGCGAAATTGTCTTCGCATGACTTTTCCATGGCTTGTGTAAGTTGTTATGTTCTGCCGATGCGCCGTCTAGGCGCGGCCTGTTCCTGTCCTGTCCTGTCCTCAGGAGGATCGTGGCCCCATAGGAGCTCCACCGAAGGTGCCAGTGGCAAAGTTCGCACGGCGGACACGGGCCATTTCGGCACACCCCTCACGAGGATCGTGGCCCCATAGGAGCTCCACCGAAGGCGCAAGTAGCAAAGTTCGCATGGCGGCCTCGGGCCATTTCGGCACACCCCTCACGAGGATCGTGGCCCCATAGGAGCTCCACGGAAGGCGCCAGTAGCAACGTTCGCATGGCGGCCTCGGGCTATTTCGGCACACCCCTCACCAGCATCGTGGCCCCATAGGAACTCCACCGAAGGCGCCAGTAGCAAAGTTCGCATGGCGGCCTCGGGCCATTCCAGCACACCCCTCACGAGGATCGTGGCCCCATAGGACCTCCACCGAAGGCGCCAGTGGCAAAGTACGCATGGCGGCTTCGGGCCATTTCGGCACACCCCTCACGAGGATCGTGGCCCCATGACCGCTCCACCGAAGGCGCCAGCGGCAGAGTTCGCATGGCGGCCTCGGTGCATTTCGGCACACCCCTCACGAGGATCGTGGCCCCATAGGAGCTCCACCGAAGGCGCCAGTGGCAAAGTTCGCATGGCGGCCTCGGGCCATTTCGGCACACCCCTCACGAGGATCGTGGCCCCATAGGACCTCCACCGAAGGCGCCAGTGGCAAAGTACGCATGGCGGCTTCGGGCCATTTCGGCACACCCCTCACGAGGATCGTGGCCCCATGACCGCTCCACCGAAGGCGCCAGCGGCAGAGTTCGCATGGCGGCCTCGGTGCATTTCGGCACACCCCTCACGAGGATCGTGGTCTCATATGGCGGCTTCGGGCCATTTCGGCATACCCCTCACGAGAATCGTGGCCCCATAGGAGCTCCACCGAAGGCGCCAGTGGCAGGGTTTGCATGGCGACCTCGGGCCGTTCCGGCACACACCTCAGCAAGAATTCCTCTAGCTCATCGATGCCGAAGAGCCCTGCGAGGTACTAGCTGCACCCCGCGCCGGAAATCCTCTAGCTCATCGATGCCGAAGAGCTCGACGAGGTACTCTTGTAGCTTCGCGTCACTCTTCCAACTTCGCCACTCGCTCTTACGAAAGCTTTACGAACCATACCTCGTAGAACTCTTCGACATCGATGAGCTAGAGGAATTCCGGCGCAGGGTGGAGCTAGTTGGTCGACCCGGCCAGAAAGAAGATGTGGTAACTAGGTCTCGGTTTTGCTAAAAGTTGAAAGATACTTAACCATTGTATTTTGAAATTTCACTTTTACGTCTAGCAGTAAACTTTTTGCTGAGAGAGAATCAGCTCTCTAGAGAGAGTTTTACTGTTCGCTCACTTCTGGGAACCGACCTCATATTGACATCAAAAAATGCAGCATTAAAGATTTTAAAAAGAAAATATTGGAAGTTCTCTGCTTCGATTCCGAGCACTTGTACGCATGCAAGAAGCTCTACGAGGTTCCCGGCGGTGACCAGGTTGACGGTTCACCGCCGGCGCCACTCTCAAATCTCTCAGAATGTTCGTCCAATCGAACCGAAGTTCCCACATTGTCCCCCCGGGCCGGCTGGGCCAACTAGCTGCGCCCCGCGCCGGAATTCCTCCAGCTCATGGATGCCGAAGAGCTCAACGCGGTACAACCTCTTGGTTGCCGCCCCGATGTGAAGAAATGCCTCGTAAAGCTCTTCGGCATCGATGAGCTAGAAGAATTCCGGCGCGGGGCGCAGCTAGTTGGCCGCCCCCGGCCCCGACGGAGAATGCGTGAACTTTGGGCCAGTTGGGCAAACATTGTGAGATATTTGAACATTCGTTTCAAGAACCGGTATATTTCGCACCTATAGTGGGTTATGCCGCGTCTGCCAGTGAAATTCTTAAGTCCGTAGCTGCAGTATTACTATCAAAACACTTGGCGGAACCGACTTTCGATAAAAACCAAAACATGATTTGTTCGAGCTCTCCAGCTAAAACTTGATGAAGACCTCAGAATTGCACTGGCAGACGCGGCATTACCCACTACAGGTGCGAAAAATCTGGTTTCTCAAAATGAATGTCAAATATCTTTCAAATCTTAGCAAAACCGACCCAAAGTTACCACTGGCGCCGGCGGTGAACCGCCAACCTGATCACCGCCGGGAACCTCGTAGAGCTCCTTGCGCGCGTAAGAGTGCTCAGAATCGAATCAGAGAACTTCGCAAAAGATTTTCGTGAAAATCTTCAATTTTGCATTTTTCATGTCGACGTAAGTTGGTTCCTCCAAGTGTTTTGATAATAAAAGTGCGCCTACGACTCTCATATTAAGACGCAGAGGCCCTCATAGTCTTTCACAGGTGCGAAAATCTGTTTTCTCAAAGTGACTTGTCAAATATCTTTCAAATCTTAGCAAAACCAACCCAAAGTTGTCACATTGTCCGCCCGGGCCGGTTTGGCCAACCAGCTGCACCCCGCGACGGAATTCCTATAGCTCATCGATGCCGAGGAGCTCTACGAGGCACATTGTCCGCCCGGGCCGGGTGGGGCAACTCGGCAGCGCCCACTTGGTAGCGCCCAAAGCCCGGATAGCAAAGAGACACTCACACTGGCGCCCGCGGTGGACAGTCAACCTGGTTTTTTGCGGCTTTGCGGGCAGCGAAGGCTCCGTCGAAGCCTGCCCGAGCCAAACGCCCAGCAGGGCGCCTCGAGCTTTCTGTGAGCTCTCAGCACGCACTCGGCCGCCCCAATGAGGCGCTCCAGCACCGTCAGTTCGGCATCAGTGACTGTCCTATCTCTAGGCAAGAGAAGGGCCGCCTCCGCAACATCTCTCCAAACGAGACCGTCACAGGAGGCAGCAGGCTGAGGCGAGTCGGGGGCAGCGGAATGCCGCAAGCGCTTAGAGCAATGTTCAGGATGGGGGAGAAAGGCAGCCTCGAGAAAGAAACCAATACCACAACCAGACGCATCCACTCCGCCGTCGAAACGACCGCGGAGGGCAACAAGCTCATGATACTCTAAAAGATCGGGTGGAACAGGCCTCATAGTGTAACACTCGCGGCCTTCCCGCGCACAATGTGCGAGGGCATCTGCCCTCTGGTTGTTCTCTCTGAATTCATGTTTGAGGACGTCACGACCAAGGAAACTGGATCTAAGATGGTATCGATTTTCCAGCCACGCAATCTTATCCACCAACTTATCAACTCTCTTTTGATACACGTTGTTTCCCACCCTCCACTTCCCACGGACCCAATTTATAATGAGAAGACTATCACCGCAGAGCTCCACAGGGAGCCCATCCGAAACAACATCCCAGACCGTCGCCCTTTCATTTAGGATGGCTAACCGTTTTGCTAACTTTTCCGCCTCCGCTCCAGACACCTCCTGAGACATCAACTCATCCCAAGACATATTTTCCACCACAGAGTCGCTCCCCTTTCCAGAATACACGAAATACTCAAACGCTTTCTCATGGCCACAGCGTTTAAGGTAATCAGGCATCTTGTCGAGGAACGTTTTCCAGGAAAACTCACCGTCCTTCCACCAAGAGGCCCCAAATAGGATATATGCCATGTAACTCAAAGGTCTTTCTCCTGATGCACCAGCTCCGACACGAATACGTTTCAGAGCACTAGCCTCCTTCCACGATCCCTTCTGTCTGAGAACCTCACTGAAGTCTGAACGAGCTCCCTCCCATGATGGACACGAACACAGCAGCATCCTTCTGGCGTCCCTCCAGGCACGGGCACCATTGGCAGGAGCAATGGGGAGAGCCAGCCGACGACGTTTGCAATCTTCCCGATTCGCATAAGCAGCATCCCAGTTAGTCGCATGATACTCCGCAACATCTTTTGCCAGCAACCATGAACGATGCAATACACGTTGAACCGAACTCTGAAACCCATGATCGTGAAATAGCTTTCGAACAACATGCAAACGAGCAGGGCGCCATATGTCCCAGGATACACTGGCAGGTTTCGATGTATGACACATCCTCAACAAGCATGTGCCCTCAAAGACGTGATTTTTGTGAATCGAGTCCTTTTCCCACGTCAGCCCTTCCGAACCGAAGAGCAGGGTAGATTGCACGATGGACTGATAACGTTTGAACTTCAGATGCCAA